GCCTGTGTATGGCTTCCGAATACTGCTGCATCCACCGCCACCCTGCGCCATGTGTCTGTCGTCTGCTCACGCTGCTGACGGCTTCCGCTTTTTAACCTAGGCCTGTGTATGGCTTCCGAATACTGCTGCCTCCACCGCCACCCTGCGCCATGTGCCACTTTCAGGTCTCCTTACACTGTTGGTGGGTTCCATTTTGTGATAGGGTGCTGTATGGCCTTCCATTGCTGCTGCTGCCTCCACCGCCTCTCTGCGCCATGTGCCTCTGTCGTCTGCTCACGCTGCTGACGGCTTCTGCTTTTTAACCGAGGCCTGTGTTTGGCTTCCGAATACTGCTGCATCCACCGCCACCCTGCGCCATGTGTCTCTGTCGTCTGCTCACGCTGCTGACGGCTTCCGCTTTTTAACCTAGGCCTGTGTATGGCTTCCGAATACTGCTGCCTCCACCGCCACCCTGCGCCATGTGTCTCTGTCGTCTGCTCACGCTGCTGACGGCTTCCGCTTTTTAACCTAGTCCTGTGTATGGCTTCCGAATACTGCTACCTCCACCGCCACCCTGCGCCATGTGTCTCTGTCGTCTTCTCACGCTGCTGACGGCTTCCGCTTTTTAACCGAGGCCTGTGTTTGGCTTCCGAATACTGCTGCATCCACCGCCACCCTGCGCCATGTGTCTCTGTCGTCTGCTCGCGCTGCTGACGGCTTCCGCTTTTTAACCTAGGCCTGTGTATGGCTTCCGAATACTGCTGCCTCCACCGCCACCCTGCGCCATGTGCCACTTTCAGGTCTCCTTACACTGTTGGTGGGTTCCATTTTGTGATAGGGTGCTGTATGGCCTTCCATTGCTGCTGCCTCCACCGCCACCCTGTGCCATGTGCCTCTGTCGTCTGCTCACGCTCCTGACGGCTTCCGCTTTTTAACCGAGGCCTGTGTTTGGCTTCCGAATACTGCTGCATCCACCGCCACCCTGCGCCATGTGCCTCTGTTGTCTGCTCACGCTGCTGACGGCTTCCGCTTTTTAACCGAGGCCTGTGTTTGGCTTCCGAATACTGCTGCCTCCACCGCCACCCTGCGCCATGTGTCTCTGTCGTCTTCTCACGCTGCTGACGGCTTCCGCTTTTTAACCGAGGCCTGTGTTTGGCTTCCGAATACTGCTGCATCCACCGCCACCCTGCGCCATGTGTCTCTGTCGTCTGCTCACGCTGCTGACGGCTTCCGCTTTTTAACCTAGGCCTGTGTATGGCTTCCGAATACTGCTGCCTCCACCGCCACCCTGCGCCATGTGCCACTTTCAGGTCTCCTTACACTGTTGGTGGGTTCCATTTTGTGATAGGGTGCTGTATGGCCTTCCATTGCTGCTGCCTCCACCGCCCGCCACCCTGCGCCATGTGCCTCTGTCGTCTGCTCACGCTGCTGACGGCTTCCGCTTTTTAACCGAGGCCTGTGTTTGGCTTCCGAATACTGCTGCATCCACCGCCACCCTGCGCCATGTGCCTCTGTCGTCTGCTCACACTGCTGACGGCTTCCGCTTTTTAACCGAGGCCTGTGTTTGGCTTCCGAATACTGCTGCATCCACCGCCACCCTGCGCCATGTGTCTCTGTCGTCTGCTCACGCTGCTGACGGCTTCTGCTTTTTAACCTAGGCCTGTGTATGGCTTCCGAATACTGCTGCCTCCACCGCCACCCTGCGCCATGTGTCTCTGTCGTCTGCTCACGCTGCTGACGGCTTCCGCTTTTTAACCTAGGCCTGTGTATGGCTTCCGAATACTGCTGCCTCCACCGCCACCCTGCACCATGTGCCTCTGTCGTCTTCTCACGCTGCTGACGGCTTCCGCTTTTTAAACTAGTCCTGTGTATGTCTTCCGAATACTGCTGCCTCCACCGCCACCCTGCGCCATGTGCCACTTTCAGGTCTCCTTACACTGTTGGTGGGTTCCATTTTGTGATAGGGTGCTGTATGGCCTTCCATTGCTGCTGCCTCCACCGCCACCCTGCGCCATGTGCCTCTGTGTCTGCGCTCACGCTGCTGACGGCTTCCGCTTTTTAACCGAGGCCTGTGTTTGGCTTCCGAATACTGCTGCATCCACCGCCACCCTGCGCCATGTGTCTGTCATCTGCTCATGCTGCTGACGGCTTCCGCTTTTTAACCTAGGCCTGTGTATGGCTTCCGAATACTGCTGCCTCCACCGCCACCCTGCGCCATGTGTCTCTGTCGTCTGCTCACGCTGCTGACGGCTTCCGCTTTTTAACCGAGGCCTGTGTTTGGCTTCCGAATACTGCTGCATCCACCGCCCGCCCACTGCTGCTGCCAGGCCCGTAATCTGTCATGGGCCCCTGTACCGCCTCCTCATGCTGCTGCCAGGTCCAGAGTGTGTCATGGGTCCCTGTACGGCCTCCCATTGCTGCTGTCTCCATCGCCACACTCTGCCATGTGCCACTTTCAGGTCTCCTCACACTGCTGGTGGGTTCCATTTTGTCATAGGGTGCTGTATGGCCTCCCATTGCTGCTGCTTCCACCACCACACTGTGGCTCCACACTCTGGTTTTGGCCCCGTGACTGCCCAAATGAGTGAAGTGTGCGGTGATTCTAAGATCGACGGCACTCATCTGCATGTCATACTGACTGACAGTATTAGTTCTCTTCCCCAGCAGACTCCAAGGGCATTTAAATTAAAGGTACAGTGTTCTGCACTAATATAAAGGCTCTCTGAAGCCTAGAAACACCCTTTTTATAAGTTAAATTCGCAGCGAATATATTCGCCTCGAATCAAATTTATTCCGCGAATTCGGCGAATCAGCCAAATCAAATTTTTGAATAATTCGCTCATCTCTAACCTTTAACCCAAAAGGAAAAAAACTATTGCTGTAACTTCTTAGAAAGTGTTAGCTTGAGTTTGGCTTTAATTTGTTAGTCAAGTCTATGTAAATCTGCTAGTGCATCTAACATGGACAAGAGTGTGTTACTGGCCAGATCACCAGGTGAAAGTAAAGCAAAACAGCCTGAAAAAGAAAACTATTGTAGCCAACTCATTTAAAGTGGTTCTAAAGGCTCAAGGTTTTTTTACCTTCATACATTCTTTGCATGAGGGTAAAAACCTCTCTGTGGTGAATGGATATACTCTCTAGCCCCCTCCTAATACTCACCTAAGTCTCAGCTATCCCAGGACTCCCTCTTCTCATTGGCTGAGAGAGGAGCGGGAGCCATTGGCTCCCACTGCTGTCAATCACAGCCAGTAAGCCAATGAGAAGAGAGGGGGCGTGGCCGAGCTGTGGCTCTGTATGTGAATGGATACACGGAGCAGCGGATGCCCCCATAGCAAGCTGCTTGTTGTGGGGACACCCAACAGGAGGGAAGAGCCAGGAGAACCTGTGGGGGGCCCAGGAAGAGGAGGATTCAGGCTGCTCTGTGCAAAACCACTGCACACAGCAGGTAAGTATAGACGTGTTTGTTATTTTTTCTCAAAAAAACATGCCTTTAGAATCACTTTAAGGTTTGTAAAGCTGCACCAGACTAAATAGTGGTGTTAAATTCCATCTCAAAAGGTGGCAAGTATGCAGAGTGCAGGCACTGACCACAGCTATAATGGACAATAAATAGTTGGGAACATACTGTTAGCTATCTGTGCTGGCTTGCACTACTTGTCTTTCAGTAGTGATAACTGTCTAGTGTAGACTAAAAGCCTCAATATCCCTAAAGTATACAAAATATGAAACTGATCTATGAAAAATGTGGTATATGTTTTGTGTTATCTATGGCACCCAGATACTCCCTAAATGTCAATGGTGCTGTCCCGGTCTGAAATGAAGCTGGGATTCTCTTCATTTGCCATGGACTGCATTACATTGACCTATTAGCAAACCTTTCATCATACAACGGTCCCATAGAGGTTAGCCAGCATTGATAACGGAATGCTCATTGAATGGACCATGAAAATAAATGAATCCTATTCAGGTGGAAAAGGACTGGTTCACATGTTCTAACCTAGGAACTTTGGCACTAGAAATAAGATCTTACATTTGTAGAGAAGCAAAGATTTGTATTCTGTGTTAAGTACAGCCCCATTGAAAAGCTTTAGGAAGAAAGGAAAACATTGCTGTCCACGGGGAAAATAAATATTCCAGTAAAGTCAAATCATGGGGAAGTGATTAAGCAATGATCACTCAGCTAACCAGGAGTGCAGGGCTGGAAGTCTCCCAGCGACCACAAGAACGTATTTTAATGCGTGTGGCCTGCGTTTCATCTTATGCTCACATCCAGTACTCTGCTTAATCAACACACTTTCGAGGCATTTCAAAATAAATAGTTTCTTTTTGTCGAAAAAACATATTAATATAATGGATTGATTTAAAAAGAACAAGACAATGAATTCAGGGAACACTCAACAGGTGTGAGAAAACTGCAAAGGCTTTTAATGGGAAACCATCTTCCAAACTTCCTGTTCAAAACTCACAGCAGTGCTTGCTTTTATAGAGGCAGAAAATCTTTCCTTAACCACTTGCCTACAGGGCACTTATACCCCCTTCCTGCCCAGGCCAATTTCCAGCTTTCAGCGCTGTTGCACTTTGAATGACACTTGTGCAGTAATGCAAAACTGTACCCATATGAACTTATTTTTTTTTTTTTTGTGACAGAGCTTTATTTTGGTGGTATTTAATCACCTCTGGGTTTTTTATTTTTTCTTAAATCAAAAACCACTGAAAATGTTGAAAAAACATTTTTTTTTCTTAGTTTTTGTTATGAAATCTTGTAAATAAGTGATTTTTCTCCTTCACTGATGTGCGCTAATGAGGTTGCAGTGATGGGCACTGATAGGTTGCACTGATGGACACTGATAGGTGGCACTGATGGAGGCACTGGTAGGTGGCACTGATGGGCATTGACAGGCATCACTGATGGGCACTGAAAGGCAACACTCATATGGCACTGATAGCTGGCACTGACTGGCACTGTTAGGTGGCACTGACTGGCACTGTTAGGCAGCACTGATAGTCAGCACTGACGGGCACTGATAGGTGGCACTGACTGGCACTGATAGGTGGCACTGATAGGTGGCACTGACTGGCACTGATGGGTGACACTGAAAGGCAGTTCAGATGGGCACTGATATGTGGCATTGATGTGCACTGGTAGGCACTGATGGGCACTGGCAGGTGGCAGGGATGAGCACTGACAGTTGGCACTGATGGACACGGACAGGTGGCACTGCTGGTGCTACACAGGTCATCAGGGCACACTGATCATCAGTGCCTTGATGATCAGTGTACATGTCCCCTCTGAGGGATGCTGATTACCAGCTCTCTTCTCCTCTCGAGCTGTCGGCGTGACAGCTCGTGAGGAGAGAAATGCTGGTAACCAGCATTTCCCTATTTACATGTGATCAGCTGTGATTGGACACAGCTGATCACATGACCGAGCCGACATCTTCGGCTCTTTCCATTGATTGGTGATCCGCTGTGTCCGAGGGACACAGTGCACTGCCGATCACCACGCTGCATGCTCCCAGACCCGTGCATGCGCGGTTAGAATGGGAGGACGTCATATGACAACCTCCCAGAACGAGAGAACTGCCTTGCGCCCGTCATTGTACTGTATGGCAGGAGGGAGGCGGTTAAGATTACATGTTGTAAAGGCCTTAACTTTTCAACTTCACACTGCAACCCTATGGTTCAAAACCTTGCCCGCCCATCAGACCATCATCCAATGAAAGTTACTGTAGTGAGTGGGGACTTAAAGTGATACTAAACCCAGGACCCTGCATTCACTATATCTGGTCTCCTACAGTACACAGAACATGGAAATGCAATTATTTTTAGTAAATATAAACTTCTAAATCCCTTTTCTCATCAAGTTAGAGCAGTCTTGTGACTTCAGCAGACACTGGTGAAAGCTTGTAGGAGGAGTTTTCTTTCTGCTCTAGGAGGATGTGAAACCTCTGACTCTGTCTGGACAGTGTTGATTGGCCCTGTGCTGATCACATGCACTCTCACAACAGCAACAAAAACAAATCTAGCAATACACACCAAACTGAGCATGTGCATGTGACTACAGATTCAGTCTGCATCAGGTGGTCATTTCAACAAGAGGAGGGGCAAAGAAGAAATGATCCAACATCCTTTTTACACAATGCAGAGGATTAACCCCTTAGGTCCCACAGTGTGTATAACAAGCATGCTTTACTGCATATACAGACCGATTTTACTGTTGTGGGTTTAGTAACACGTTAAAGTGGTTGTAAACCCTTACCTATACCCAGTGAAGTGATTGGCCTCAGGTGATACAGATGAAACAAATCCTCCGGCATGTGTATCTGTTTATTTGCAGTCATTTGTCCTGTACAGCCTTGTAAAACTCAGAGGTGAAAAGGACTTTTCACAGACTCACAAAGCAGTGGGCAGGAACTGCAGTTACACACTACAAGAGTTCAGAGAGCTGATTGGAGGGAAGGGACACACCCCCTTCACACAGCACACAGGAACAGAGCTCAAGCTGTCATTGCTGCCTTTTGGAGAGAGGCAAGTAAACACCATACAAAAAAGGTGCTTTGCTCAGATTTCATTTCTGAGCTTTACAACCACTTTAAGACAGAAGATGGGCATGGCTTTATGCCCTAAGATAAACAACAAAGGCCTTTATAGTAAAGGAAAGTCATTTACACAGGGCCCAGAGGGTTCTTCTCTGGACAAGGTTAGTGTCAGGCATCTTTCTTAGGGAACACTTTTTTAGCTTTAAAGTGGACCCTCTCCCTAAGCTACCTATAGTTTTGCCCTGCCACCTCACCTTCCATTTCTCACATTTGGATACTTTTTTACTTTAATAGATTTTCTCTCGTATGTTAGAATGACATTTGCATCCCCTCCATCCCCCTTCCAGATTTTGTGTATGTGAAGATGTGCCACAAGGTTTCAGATTCCGTCATCCCTGCACACGCACAGCTTTCCTGCGCATGCCCAAAAAATGGCTGTTCTGGAAGTTCCAAAACTTTACCATGTGTAAACATGTGCAGGGAATCTCCAGTGTAAATATGTGCTGAAGGGCTCTGCAAAAAACCCAAAGGCCAGGTAAAGCCCTTCAGCACATCTGCACATGTGTCTTAATAACACAATGGTGACACCAAGGGGGATGAGAGTGTCAAATAGAAGCAGACTGAAGTTCTTTAAAGTGATCGTAGCATTAAATAAATATTTTTATGTTGCATGCATGCTAAGTAATGTGCCTTCATCTGCTTCATCAAACAGTCATGCTTGTCTGTTTCCAGCTTTTAGTTTTTCAACTGAGATGCTGGTTCAGAGATGACAGTCATATAAATTCTGGTGCATAGGCATCTTTTGGCTGTGTTCACGAATGTTATCCTAGATTAAACCCATGCTGCAGCCTCTCAACTTAACAATTGTTACAGTGGTATTGCTTGGTCCTTGCAGGAGGGGAGACTGAGGAAATGCTTCTTTCTGCCTGCAACAGAGTGATGGCATCATTTCAGCCTAGGCAAATTCACTGGACTGGAGCTCAGGGACTACTTTTTATAAGACATACAGTTTCTTTTCAACATGTTGAAAAGCTTTATGGATTTTGTAGGCTGAACTGCAGGACTTTGTTAGAAGGCAGCAAATTAGGGGACTACATTTCCCAGAGAAGCTGGCATGTGGTAGAAGGCATATAAATGTAGAAGCCCAGGGACAGTGGCAGGAAGTGAGCTGGAAAAGATGGAAGGAAGATGTGAGGAGAAAGCTCTGCGGAACGTCGGAGGACTGGACAAGGACACAGAGTGGGAGAGCAGAGAAAGAGGGAGGAATAGCCATCCGCTGACCTCGCCAAAGAATCTGGAGAACTACCCTGTCAGCCAGAGACCCGGATGCCGTCACAAACGAACTCTGCAAGAAGAACCACAGGACCACTGGGGACCACCATCTACAGAAAGACCACCAGTGACTAGATTGATGCCACAGATCAGGTGAGAGAGTCCTAATCTCCACCTAATTAGGTTGTCACAGACATTCTATTGAATCAGCCATTTTCTATACAGTTACTGACATTGTTCACAAGTTACACAAGTTGAGGCCTAGTTCACCCAGCCTATTAGCAAACACATCTCCAGCATATTCTAGTCATTAGAGTCGACTTCAGTGTCCACCCTCGCAAGCAAGCCAAGCTACACTACTGTTTCCTCTGCAATTGGTCTACATCCATAAAGGGACACTCTTCATTGTTGCCATTTGCTATTGCGGCCTAGAGAGGAATGAACCTTTTGGCAATAAGTGTTGCCTGCCCTTTAAACCTCTTGCTTAAAATCTGCATCTTGGGATTTAAAGGGGTACTGCTCAAGTTAAATACCACTTAAGGAGATAGTGTCTGTGCTTGCCTAAATACGTTTTTGAGGGATTTTCACCTGTTGCAATGAAGGAGACCTGAATTCTTGTAGTGCACCAACAAGTGCACAGAAGATCTTTCACTGCAGTTAAAGGGGCTTTAGCCTTCCTAATTAAAGAGCTCATTCTTAATCTTAGATCTGAACTTTGTCATCAGCTTCTGAGGGCCCAAAGTGAACCAGCATTATTCTTTAGTAGTTTTTCCTTTGCTCACTGAGGACAGAAACATCTCAGAGTTGAGGCCTTTGGTTAATTTCTGACTTGCAGGATGTCCAGAACTGACTTGGATTGTTTCTGTATGTGTTGACCTTTGCTTAAAGTTACTAAGAGTGATAACGTTTATTATTTACATGCCTATAATTTTGTGCTGCTTTACTGTGCTTATACTCAACTTCAATATAAAAACAAAGTATCAGTTCACTCTAACTTCTGTGCAAGTCCTTTTTCTGGTAATATTGAGAGAGTTTATTCTGGCCAGAAGTGTACGGTGGTGTCTGCAGGGGTTGGGCTTTCAATGTGGGGTCAAGATTGACAGGGAGCCTGAAAATAACTCAGCGACCCTTAAGGGCGTAGTGCTACAGGATGAAGAAGAAATCTCTGCAAGAGGACACTAAGGGGTTTATTTACTAAAGCTGGAGAGTCCAAAATCAGACTCCCTTCTGCATAGAAACCAATCAGCTTCTAACCTCAGCTTGTTCAATGAAGCTTTGGCAATGAAACCTGGAAGCTGATTGGTTTCTATGCAGAAGGGAGTCTGATTTTGGACTCTCCAGCTTTAGTAAATAAACCCCTAAGAGTAATCAAGGTTCTCTTTGGTGTGTGAGTGGGAGAGATGTTCTCTTCTTCCTGACTGGTGTCAAGAGAAGAGGTTATTAATTTTCCTTACTTTAAAATGATCTTTTAAATCTTTTTGCCAAGGAGGAACCCTTGAAATATTTTTAGGTCTTAGGGAACCCCTGCATAAAAAATATCTCCAGTTCACAGTACAGTAGTGTGATTGGTAATTTACACATTGCTGGTCAGTAAGGAAATGCCCCATTACATTGGTGGTTGGGGGAGGTGTGTGTGCCTCATACTTTGGTGGTGATTGGGAAAAAAAAAACAGAATGGTGGTCAATGGTAAGAAAGTCTCCTTTACACACAGCTAAAAAAAATATCATTTGTATCAGTTACTTAGCTGAAAAGTTGAGAATAACAGATTTTCTGATCCCACACCATTTGACCAGTCAGGTAAGATTGGTACCATAACTGTGCAGGCACCATCAAGCTGAAGATCAGTCCACATGTGCTCATTGTTCAGGGAACCCCTAGCCACCTGTGAAGGAACTCTAGGGTTCCATGGAGCCTTGGTTGAGAAAGGCTGCTCTAAAATGTTAAAAAAGACAAGGGGGGTGATTTACTAAAACTAGACAGTGCAAAATCAGCTGCTAACTTCAGCTTCTTCAATTAGGCGTTGACAATAAAACCTGGAAGCTGATTGGTTTCTTTGGAGAGCTGCACCAGATTTTGCACTCTCCAGTTTTGGTAAATCATCCCCATGGCTGTACTTATACATTGTTTAACATTGGACCTGTAATTGCGTGCTTACAGTATGATCAGCTTTTTTTTTTGTAAATTTCCCAAATGCCTGGTCAGAAGTGGTGTTGCAGCAATCTGAGGGTCCAGTCACATTTTTGCGTGTCCATCAACCCCATTTTTAAGATGCATTATGATAGTACATAACAATGTTCTACATGCATCAACTGTATATTAATTTTGCTTCTGCATTTATCACAGCATACATATCTAAACAAGCTCCACTGAAAACAATGAATTGCTATGCACACTGCTTACATATACATAGTACATTGCACACATTTTATCTCACAGGTGTAAATGAGGCATCAACTGTCCTTATAGCATCATTACCTGCTGGAAATCAAACAATGTCAAACAGGAAGATAAACTGGTTGCAGATTAGACAATGGTCTGTTTTTTTATTCTAACTTTATTCTATTCTAATTCAGAAACAAAATGAATTTTGGTTGATATGGCAACATTTCTC